CTATCACCTCTTTGGAGAGCTTTCACTAAAACACCCCGGACGGCAGATAAACTAGCGAATGAGGAACGGATCGAGAACTCGTTGAGACTTTACGACTCAATTTTCCGGCGATTACTCGTGGTAAAATCTAATAGCGAATTGGCGATAACTGAAGTTATGTGGCCTCTATATCTGCTTAAATAAACGAAAGGAACCAACCTCTGAGTACCACTTTGGAAGCCCATTGGCTCCTCTCAGTACCGGGCTTGCGAGATTCGAGGATCTCCTTCCTCTTAATGTCTGCCCAGCGACTCTGTGTCTACGGGGCAACGGTAAGGGGAATGCAGTTGTAAAAAAAATGGCTGATTTCATTCATAAATTATAGTGATGTAAAGTTTGGATACTTTTGAATACCTGTACGGATTCGATACTTTTAATATCAATACCCGATACTTTTATTGGGTATTTAGGTACTTTCAGTATTATTATTAAGTCTTCAGTATCAGTGAATTTTTTACTATTTTATCATTTTTTATTCATCCAAGAATTACAGGCTTGAAGGATTTGGTATTTAAAGGTATTGGTAATGGTGAATTATTGTACCTAATTGTTTTGGGTACCTACCTTCTTATTTATTATGGTTACCAAAGACAGAAATAAAATATTCGTTATTTTTTAGATACACAATACACAGTAGGTATTTTAAAACTTTAATTTTGTATAAATAATTCTACTAGAATATTGTAAATTAGAAAATATATTATAGGTTTATAGGTGTAAAAGTATTGGGTGTTTTGAACAATAAGGATTCGATACTTTGGGTATTGAGTGAATACCCGATACTTTGTATCGGGTAGGTACTTTTTTTACATCACTATAAAATACCCAACTGCGTGCGGAACTTTTTGGAAGTGTTATCGTATTGCAACTCGTATACACGAAAATCAGTAATGACCAAATCTCCGCCACTGGATATTTCAATATAAATCGATATTCCAAGATGGGAGGATAAAATGACGTGAGCCCTGGCCAATAGCGAGACGTAAGGTGACGTTAGCTCATTGACAACCGTATGGTTCCCCATGACAACGGCGATGCTGCCAAAAACTCCACCAATCAGGTTCATCCAGGACGGATGCTTGCCAAATTGTCAAAAGCTGATGGTATCTTTAGAAAATGTTTATTTTTTACAATAGACTAAATTGAAGAAATCAGGATTAAAATAAGGATAGATCTAACAACCACGTTAAAATATTTAGCGTTTTATTATTGTTATCAATATTTTGTTACTAAAAAATGGATTTTCAAATTAACAACGTGGCAACATGGCACATTTACGTCCGAATTCCTTCCGTAGACTCAGATCCGCTGGGCGCTGGGCAAACAATAGCTTTCAGCGATTCGCTGGAAGTACCCCTTGGTTTCTTGCCGTGTTTCTATTGGCTCTCAAGTTTATCTAACCTTCCCCATTCAAAGTGCTCAACCCTGTGATCTAGTTTGATGGCTCTCCAACGCTTCGCTACTTACATGTTGTCAAATTATTAATTGAACATACACAGTTTTCCCTTTTAATTGAAAATCTTTTCCTTTTCTAATTACCTAATAGACCCATCTCGCATGATTGTAAAAAGAGAGCTTAATTGTAATAAATACAAGTTAGAAAGCAATAAAAGATGACATGCGCGCGCAACTCGTAGGCTGCAGGGTAGCCAGATTGTATTGTTGCAGAACAAATGTAGACAATACAAATCGAACATTAAAACATTAAAGAAGTACCTAATATAGTGTCAAGTGTTTTACAACGCCTTAAATCAGACAAAAGAAGAGCTTTAAAGTGGATGAACATCATCGTTTGCACTTTTATTATGATAAATGTTTCATCCGGCAACATCGCTCAATTAAATTGCAAAAGGAATAGGTATGTCAAGTACCTATAATCTAACATAACCTTAAACGAAACTGCGGTGAGTTCAAGTAATATGTAAAGTATTGTTTGCTCTTTGTCAAATTACACGTTACAAAAAAAGAAGGAATGATTCATTCTGAACTGGCCCGTGAATAAGAATATGACGCAGGCCTGTCACAAACTTGCTTCTCATTGGACGCTCACCTGTAGCCTACAAGCGACGCGCGCAGTCCAGGTAATAGGAGATCGGTCTATTGAATGTATAAAATAATGGTTCCCTAATTTCTATACTAATTAAATGTATAAAATAAAGGTTCCCTAATTTCTATCCTAATTAAATATATAGAATAAAAGTTCCATAAATTCTAACCTAATTAACAAGGGTATGTGAAATGATCTAAACTCTCTAATGAAGTAAAATCTCTACTAATATAATAATAGAATAATTGAGTAATCACTCGTATCTCAATCTACCTATCTTAATTATAACTAAGCATTTGACTTATAGTAATAACCTCGGTAATAACCCTTGATTATCGGCTCCTTGCATCAAATTTTTTTATTGCTGATTTCGGAGATACAACACTATGAAATCTGCCTATGACGTCACTTATCTAATAAATAAGTGACGTTGCACATGCTTAGTATATCTATATATACAAAACTTAATATTTGAATAACTTCCGGAATAATCATATTAATTTGGGCGAAATAAAAAAAAGTAACGATTTTTTTTCGATTTCCTACAGTTTGCAATAAACAATAATCAATTTAATTTTCCATGCAAGTACCCTATTATATTATTATTATACAATTGGTTATTATATCTTAAAATCCAGCTCACTAATTATTGTTTCTCTACACACACATATACTTCGAATATAATATATCATTCTGACATCTGGGTTCGTTATAAAACGTGGGTCAGAGATTATTCTTGACTTTGAATAAATTATTACAACCACATGGGTCTGGTTTAGTCAAGAGATTAGTTTAAAGTTTAGTGTTTATTTCGGAAAACCTAAATTTGGCCTATATATTTGACAATTTTGGATTACAACAATAATAATCTTGAAGCTATAAAATTCGATACTTTTCTTGCTCAAGAGCTTTTTACCCTCGAACAGATTAAACCTTTCGCAGAACTCCATGTGTTTGTAAATTTCATCATAGGGTCACATTTAAGCTATATATAAAAATAAAACTTTTCCCACGAATAATGAATTTGAACCAAGAATATACATTTGTTATTGGTTTGGTTACAGTATCTTCTAAGCATTGTAAAATAAAAGACTTACATCGTTGGACTTTCTTCTTAGCTTCATGCAATTTCTTTTCGTCAGTATAATCAGTTGCTCTGAATCCCTTCTCTACAGAATCTTTATAGTATTTTACATTATTAGCCAGGTAAAACAGTTTTTACTGGCGATTGAAGGAAATGACTGGCGAGCCGCCAGGCGAGCTTGTCACCTTCAAGAGCCAGTAAAAACTGCTACCTGGCGTATAATGTACAATAATTTATTTGTTACTCATTTCTAAAAGATATAGGGACAAATAAAAAATCAATACATAACAAAAATTTGAAATTTATATGTTTTTCCTTGATTTTTTCTCACAGAAGTTTTGGTAGTTGGTATAACTATGAGAATGATACGTCGTTAAGACGTTGTTTCTAGTTATAAATAGGTTTTTTGACAGATTTCCATTTTGCAATTTTTTTCCAGAAATGAATTTATTACAAGATATTATTAATGAAGCCTCAGTCGTAGCCAACAGTTTATCACCAGAAAAGTCTCCCAGAAGGTACCTACAAGCAATTATTCTTGTGATAAAACCGATTTTTCAAAAATAAATAATTCTACTGACTTGTAAAAAGTTTTTACAGTTTAGCTGTCAATTTTACAAGTCAGTAGAGCCAGTAGCTTGTAAAAATCAATTTTCGCTGGTTATGTTTTGACTTGATAAGTGACGTTTTACAAATGAGTGACAAATAAACATCTTTTTCATCCAGTAATATCCCCATTCTAAATTTCCAAGCTTGATAATTTTGCTCATTGAGGGTTCAATATTAAAAGTGTTATTTTTTCCTGCAATGGTGCTTGGTACTGATTTTTTTTATTTTAAAATTACCTTTTCTTTTTCTTCACAAAATAGAGTTTCCTGGCCCCATAACCTATTATAATTTCATCTTTATTTATTGGTTCATTGAATAAACTTTTCTCAATCTTCTTCTTCTTCTTTATAACATACTTTTCTTATTATTCAATAATACAATAATTATTATTATAACAACTGAAACCCTTATCAACTACTTTCAACTGTCTGGAAAAACTTCTATATAGATAATTATTTGATTTATAATTTTATAATATGTTCACACACACAATACATTCTGTCACCTATTGACATAAAATTTAAGAAACCCTGACAATTTACAAATAATTTCTATCAAATATTCAGATGTCAAGAAAAGCATTACAAAATGTTCAATTTCACAAGTATAAAGTACATACTTTTTTCTGAATAGAAGAGAGTAGAAAGTATGTCCTTTTTTCCGAATTTGAGAGAGTAAGAAGTACTTTTTTATTCTCTCATATTCGAGAAAAACGTCACTTTCGAACAGAATCATAGTGTAGAAAAAAATGAACTAGTGCATATTATCATGATTCAACCAATAGTAAAATTTCACTTTTTTATTATTATTAGAACCTATATCTCATTACAATACGGATACAAAAAAAGGGTTTATGTTTCTGCGCAGATCGTTTGCAGGCTAAGAAAATTGTGTTACTAGACCTAACAAAAACAAAAAGAGTTTAATAATAGTAGGTAAGTATATATTTTTTGAAAAATACTCCAATAATCCTAAATCAAATAGGATGAATCAAAGAATAAATGTTTGGCTTAATTGTTGTACCTACCAGAGGACAGCTTAAGCACATCAAATATGGATCAAAAAAGTTATATTAAAAAAAAAAACAATCTCTAAAGAGGTTAAAGAAACAACTAAGTAAATAAATATTGAGACAATATTTTGGATAATATTTTTGTATATAAAACTACGTTGAAAACCCAAAGAATTCAGTTCGACATTGGTTAGATTGAAGCTGTAAAAATGGTGAAATTTTTCTTTACATTAGTAAGTACAAACTTAATTTTTCTCCATAGATTGTCATCTACCAATATTTCCACTTATTTTAGTGCACATTTGCCTTTATAAGTTTGGCAACACCTAAAGAACTCCCAAGCAATCGCAGCCACAATATTTTCCAAGACGTCGTTCGTTCGTTCTACAACTCAAAAGCCATCACCAACGTCAACGAACTCCTCAACAAAAACCACCGAGCTGAACTCGACGAAGTTGTACAAACTTTCAACGATGGTGTTGGTTTTAAACTAATCACTATAAAAAATGGTTATGTGCAAGCCGATCTTGGTTCATTTGAAAAAGCTTTAGCTCAATTGGATTCAATTATTCCTCAACAAGCGTCGCAAATAAGAAGCGCAATCGATGGAATCCATAAAATATCTGCTAGGGAATTTGCCGCTTCGTTAACCAAGCCAGCGGTTAGTTCTAGGGCAGTTCAAAAATCAATGACGACTCTACTCGCTTCTACAGCTTGTAGTAGTTTCACTTCAACCATATCCGGAATGTACTCAGATTATTCTTCGCCAATTTATAACAGTTGGATTGGGTTTGTAGATACCATCGGTACTATCGGTGATACTTACCCACTTTTCAAACCAGTTGTGACTTTGGTGGATCAAGTAGATGGTGCAGTTACAGGTTTCGTTGATAATATGGTCGCAGAAACTACATCTACTTTAAATGAAGCCTGTGGTGGTGTTATATCTTTTATAGGAAATCGTCGGGATATGTCTGAGAAAGATTTGAATAGGATAAATTTGCAAAACAGATCTGTGAGTGTGACCAGTCAATTTTTCAACTTGATTATTTCAGCTATTTCTTTGGTGATTATATATGTTTTTATATTAGTTTTCGGATTTACTTTATATGGTATGAACGTTTTGATTGGACCCTTGGCTTTATTTTTTACTGTGTTTCAGTAATAATTTATGTTAGATATTAAGATATATGAAATGTAAGAAGATTAGTTTTAATTTTGAAAGCCACGCTGAAATGTCCATGGTTAGATTTTTTTCAAAGATTTCATAGAGACTTTCACTTTTAAGTATTTGCAAATAATAAAGTCTAAAACTTATAAAACTACATTTTTTTTTAAATTTTTTAAAGCTGCTTCAGTGCTTCTTTGGACTCTTTCATTTATTTCAAGCAACTGATTGACTACTAGCAAAAATCTGATAGTGACCTGTTCAGATGCTCTTGAAATTGCTAAAGGAACTCCAAAAACAAAGGTAGTTTTTGAGTGTTTCCAAAAGTAGAAAACATGTGAAAGTTTCTGTAGATTATTCGTAAGTTGTTTTGAATACTTCTAAAGCCAAATTGAGGTTGTTGAAGATTTTAGAATTATAAGTTCTTTCAAAATTTCTCCAGAAATTTTAAAAACCAATCCAGAAACTTTCCAACCAGTTTTTTGACGTTTGGAAAAAAATCAATTGCAAGTTTTTTCAGAAGCGTTAAATGCAACTCTGGACAGAAGTCAATCAAAGTGACTTTGGATGTGCTATAAGCAGTTGGTCCAAAAACTTTCGAGTAAGGTTTTTGGAACTTTATAAACCATCAATTCTTTGGAAATTGTTTCAAAAGTTTTTGAAACATTGAAACAGAGCAAATCTTCAGTTTGTAGCTGGTTTCTGAAACTTTTGATTCTATTAGTTTTTTGGACACTGCTTCAGATCTGTTAGATCCATTCTCGAGTGGGGAAATAAGGTACCTACGAGAAAAGATTACAAGATGCGGTTTGTTCTGGGAGAATAAGGGTTTTATAAAGTTTATGTTAACAGTATTGGTGAATCCTAAAAACTTGCTGAAATTTAGTTTTACAGACATGTGATGCTGAGTTTTCTGACGTCCTTTGTTTCAAAGATTCAAATCTCAGAATAATTTAGTGTATGGAGTTTGGGAAGTCCCACATGATCATTCAAACACAAAATCTTAACATAAAAAAAATTTTGAAATTTTATCATTCTAGTACCTACTTAACTAAGGTAAGACCTTATGATTTAGATTTTTGAAAACTTAAAACAATCATATTTAATTTTTTTTCTATTATAGATAGAAAGCTGAAATTTTCAGCTATTCTTATCCTAATGGAGGATTATACATTATACAATCCCTGGAAATTTCAGCCTCGATTTCAACTTCAGGTTTTTTTTTACAGTTAGATGATGATGAGGTTAAAGATTCTAAAAGTGAGGAATTAATGCTCTTTAAAATTTATTAATATAATAATCACAAAAACAAAATAATAAGTTAACTCTCTAGAATAGAAACGCATCAAGTTAGAACAAAATAATTAATTCCCACTGAGTAAAACAGCAATAGCAGCTATAGTGGTAGTCACAAGATTCATTATCAGCGCTGGTAATCTTTCCAAACTTATATGAACTACGACCAAGAATATATTCACAATTTCCTGCACACCAACTGCAACATTTGCATCAGAACTTTCACATATGCCGTTACCATCAGCACCTTGAGCTGAAGCGAACTGGAAGTAAATGACTTCAACAAAATTCCTTATTTCTACTGTTTTCTCGACCATCAGCTGAAACGCTGGAGTAAATAAACCGAGAACTGTAAAAACGAATTCTACTCCTCTTAGTGTCCAAATTAGTACTACCAAGCTGGCGATTATAAGACCAACTGGTGGGTTTATAATGGATTCACACATTTGCAGCATGATATCACTAGCTCTCTGTTGCATTTTATTGTTAATGTTTTTTGCTATGTCAGTAATTTGTTTAATGGTTACTTTCTTTACTTGAGGCGCTTCAGCATCGACATCAAATTGTCTAATCGCTTTTTCTAAACCTCGGAAATAATTCATATTCACAGCATGTAGCGACAAACTATTCCCAATTTCAACTACATCTAATTCAACATATTTGTCTTTGATGGTGAATAGCTTGAAATCAAGTGCAGAATTGACAGCATTTAAAATTTCTGAAGCTCCCGGGTTGCGTTTTCTTCTTATGAGTGTGTCCAAATTGGTGATTACTTGGGTTGGTAGTTTCCTAATAGTGTTTAGGATGTCTTTGACTACGTTTGTGTTCTCGAAAGATCCTTTAAGTTCTTTAGTGTTAACGTCTTTTGTCGAAGTAACGTGGTGGAAACATGCCAAGATGCACTGAAAATGGAAAGTTTATTGTTTGAAATTTGTGCCATATGTATGTACTTACCAGTATTGGGAATACTTTTTTCATAATTTTTTTTTTTTGGTACCACGTACTTCTATGAATCGGAATAGAACTGGTTCAACATCAAGTTCATCAGTAATTTATATGTGTCTTTTGTTTTTATTCAAAATGAAGCGAGAAATAACAATTAGAATCACTATATTATTGAGACTGAACAACCAAAAGCCGCCTTTTTTGTTTCCAAATATTAATTGTTTGAAAAATGTATTTTTGTATTTGAAAATACATATTAACTGAAGCATTAAATTAATGAGATTAGAGATGTAAAATGCGAGACGCAAACAAAAGTGATTAAAATTATACCAGTGTTCAGTTCTGTCCTGCTGGTGTCTGCGCTGCCTGCGCTGCCTACTGAGTAATTGTTTTATTGATTTATTTTCTTCAGTTACTATTTTTTTGACTTTCAGGAAATAGTTTCTCAATTTAATGTTTTCCTTCTCAATTTTATTGTTCTATTTCCAGGTATACTACCTTCCTGAAATCTACAATTCTTGGTCATTAAATATTACAGTGACATCCTTAAATTGTAGTGTTTCGTTTGAAAACCCAACCCAACGGACAATAGGGGACCCTCGAGAGGACCTAATTGACGTGTCTCATAATACCTGGTGTGGGCGCGCAGCTCGTGGGTTGCAGGTGAGCGTCCAATGAAAATTGAATTTGTTACGGGCTTGCGTCATATTCGTATTCAGGGACGAGTTCAGAATTAATCGTTCCTTCTTTCTTTGTAACATGTAATTCGACAAAGAGCAAACTAATACTTTACGTATTACTTGAACTTGTGTCGTTTAAGGTTATGTTAGATTATACTTGACATATTTTTTTTTTTGTCTTTTTAGGTTTATTTTATATCTTCAATTGACCTATCTTTTTTTACCTTGACTGCGCAAGCAACTCGTGGGCTGCAGGTGAGCGTCCAATGAGAAGCGAATTTGTTACCGGCTTGCGTCATATTCTAATTCAGGTGCCAGTTCAGAATTATTCGTTCCTTCTTTCTTTGTAACGTGTAATTGGACAAAGTGCAAATAATACTTTACGTATTAGGTACTTCTGAACTTACCGCAGTGTTGCTTAAAATTATGTCAGATTATACTTGACATATTCCTTTGGACTTTCATTGTGCGATGTTGCCGGATGAAACATTTATCAAAATAAAAGTGCAAACGACACTTTAAAGCTCTTCTTTTGTCTGATTTAAGGCGTTGTGAAACACTCGACATTATATCACTTCTTTAATCTTATAATGTTCGATTTCTATTGTCTACATGTGTTCTGTAACAATACAAACTGGCTACACTGCAACCCACTAGTTGCGCGCGCATGTCATCTTTCATTACTTTCCAACTTGTATTTATTACAACCAAGCTATCCTTTTCTATTTATGCGAGACAGGTCAATTCCCTATAGACACAGAATTTAGGGTAGGTTTATCAATTTTTCTGATTGCCTTTTCTTATAGATTTCGACTTCAAATCTCAGAATAATTTAGTGTATGGAGTTTAGAGGGTCCATAAAAAAAATTGAAATTTCATAAGTTTAATACCTGTACCCATGCCAGGCCAACAAAAACGAGAACATACCAGGGAGATTTGAAAATAGCATTGAAAATGCGTTCAATTTATCTTGATAACATTTCAATCCGCCGTAACTTTTTTGTTTTTGAAAATATCAAGGTAATGAGATGATGATGATGATGGTCATATAACCCAAGACATATAGCCCGATCGCAATGGCTCAAAAAGGATTACCTCGAGGATTACCTATTAATAAAGGCTCAGCAGCTAGTCCAGCAGGTATATTTAGAGGTGTGCCAAGGAAAAGATGGTTATTTTTAGGGCGTGTTGACAGTAATGCAACTTCCGAGATTATCTTCGATCACATTAAAGACAAGGCACAAATATCAAACAATGGTCAGCTGATAGTAGAAGAACTGCCCTCCAGAGCCAATACTAAAAGTTTTAAGGTTGGCGTTTGCGAAATTTTTCATGACACTTTGAATGATTGCAGTTTTTGGCCTAGAAATGTTATCTTTAAGCCCTTTATGCCCCGTAATTATCGCAAAGTAAGATCATCTGGAGCAAATACTGCAAGAAATTTTCAAGTACCACCAGTAACAATAACAAATGTCTGACATTTTATTACCAAAATGTGAGGGGTATAAAGTCAAAACTGCAATCCCTAATGTGCAATGTTCTTGTTGAGGATTATGATGTTTTGCTTTTGACTGAAACGTTTCTTGATAAAATAGTGTTTTAACAAGTGAACTTGGCCTAGACTCTAGAGCGTTACTTTGTATTTAGGTGCGATAGATCAGAGGCAACCAGTAATTGTTTAACCCAGGGTGGAGGGCTCATTGCTGTAAAGAGTACAATATCCTGTCAACTTCTCAATACTTCTATCAATAATGTTGAACAATTATTTGTTTCACTTACAAATAAAATCTTGCCTCTACCGAGGTATACGAAAGTTTGTGTTTCTCTGTGATGCATGTGATGGATGAAATATATATCAATGATCTGGAGGACGTTTTTCGTTTTTGTTAGTTTCTCGCATTTGCAGATGATTTGAAGCTTTTTAAAGTTATAAAATCACCTCTAGATTGTTAATTGCTGCAGGAGGACCTTGACAGGTTTTCTTCATGGTGCAAAAATAATAATTTAACTTAATCTTAATAAATGTAATATTATAACCTTAAGTAAATTGAAAAATCCAGTTCTTTTTAGCTATTGCTTGAACTCTGAGAGGTTAGAGAGGCGGAATCTAGTAAAAGATCTTGGAGTCTGGCTAGATTTTGAGCTCACTTTTACACACTATATTGATATCACTACTAACAGGGCTATACGCCTCTCGGTTTCGTTTTTAGAACTTTGAGAGGTTTTGAAAATATTTTCACCTTCAAAGCATTGTACTGTGCGCTTGTCCGTTCAATTCTTGAGTACGCAAGTTGTGTATGGCATCCACATTACTTGATACATAAAGGAAAATTAGAAAGAGTTCAGAGAAAGTTTCTTGGAGGAATAGGTTTTAGATTGGGTATGTCATTATGAAGAGATAAATTGTGATGAGATTATGAAACTTTTAAATTTGCTATCTTTAGAACACAGACGAATATCATTTGACATATCAATGTTATATTAAATTATTAACAAATTTATACCTAGACGCACCAGATCTTCTTGCAGCTGTTGGAATTCGTATTTCTCCTGTTAATGCGAGAACCAGCTATCTTTTTAATATTGATTTTCATAGGACAAACTATGAAGCGAACTCTCCATTGAGTAGGATGTGTAGGTTGACAAATGATGTGTTAGCTAGAAATCACAATATTGACATATTTGCAGACTCTCTAAGTAGATTTAATGAGAAAGTAAGACAAATTGTATACAATTAATCCGCCATTTTGTAATTTTGTAATCTTGTTATACTGTAAACTTGTATTTTAATGTCTAGTATCACCGTTTATTGTTATTTTAAATTATTTATCTTTGACTACTGTTTATCATGTCCCAGCTTTTGCTGTGCTTATTTATTTTATTGTAATTGCTAAATGCGTTAATGAAATTTTGAATTTGAACAAAAAAAAGTTTTTCTACTACCGTGCGTAAAGTACTCACTTTACACACTGTTCAGAAGACGTAAAATTCCACTTCACGCACTAGTGCGTAAAGTTATTCACTTCACACACTAGTGCGTCAATTTAGTATTTTTCTGGTAAATTACTTCACGCACTAGTGCGTGAAGTGAAAATACTTCACGCACTAGCTCGTAAAGTATTTGTCTAAATCTATTTTTTTACACATATTTGATTGGTACTAGAAAAAAATTTGTATGCAATACGTGTGTAAAGCACCTTTTTTCACTCATGTGATTGTCGCACTCGCCTTCGGCAAAACTCACATTCGTGAAAAAGGGTTCACTTTACACACTTGTTGCATAAATAACTATTTTTTTCAAGTTACATATAAAACAAAACACTATCAATTTTCTGGAATATGAGCTTACATTATATTTTTCTTAAATGGAACACCCTGTATACCTATTATATATACAGTGTGTTTCAAAAGTCTGGGAACAGTCAAATATTTCCATAGCGGCTTGACATAGAATTACGAAATTTTCTGCATATGGGTAATTAATGATGCCCGATTCAATGATCACATCGCCAATGTTGCCAAATTTACCGGTTTTCAGATAATGTAGGTAACTTCGTTTTTTTAAATAGGAATACCACTTTATTTTCATTGCAATAAATTCGGCGCTCTATTGTTATTGAAACCTCTTGATATCATGTCCCTATCTCACAAGGTTTTTGAAATCTGGCAACACAGACTTTTTGTTCAATAGTATGGGAACGGTCAAATATTTCCAGAGCGGCTTGAAATAGAATTACGAAAGTTTCTGCATATGGGTAATTATTGATGCCCGATTCAATGATCACATCGACAATGTTGCCAAATTTACCGGTTTTCAGATAATGTAGGTAACTTCGTTTTTTTAAATAGGAATACCACTTCATTTTTATTGCAATAAATTCGGCGCTCTATAGTTATTGAAACCTCTTGATATCATGTCTCTATCTCACAAGGTTTTTGAAATCTGGCAACACAGACTTTTTGTTCAATAGTATGGGAACGGTCAAATATTTCCAGAGCGGCTTGAAATAGATAACGAAATTTTCCGCATATGGGTAATTAATGATGCCCGATTCAATGATGACATCGACAATGTTGCCAAATTTACCGGTTTTCAGATAATGTAGGTAACTTCGTTTTTTTAAATAGGAATACCACTTTATTTTCATTGCAATAAATTCGGCGCTCTATTGTTATTGAAACCTCTTGATATCATATCCCTATCTCATACGGTTTCTAAAATTTTGCAACACAGCCTTTTTGTTCAAAAGTCTGGGAACGGTCAAATATTTCCAGAGCGGCTTGAAATAGAATTACAAAATTTTCTGCATGCCCGATTCAATGATGACATCGAAAATGTTGCCAAGTTTACAG